TCTCTCTCTCTCTCTCTCTCTCTCTCTCTCTCTCTCTCTCTCTCTCTATTTTTGCTGGATTCATTCAGCGCGAATCACTACGATTACTCATCGGAATTTCTCGATGTTATTAAGTTACGTACGCAATTCCAGCTTCGCTCTCTCTCTCCCTTTCTCTCTTGCTCGCTTGCTCATATTTTCTGCTGCGCTTTGCCATCGCCTGTCGAATAGCTTTTAATTTATCAATAGAAATGAAATGATAAGATTGCAAGCGCAAATAATGCGCAATATTAAAATAGTTTATTGGACGAATCGACAATCGATATGGCCTCGATCGTTTTTTTATATACTGATCCAGCATTGGCGTAGCTACGGTATCAATTAACCAAAAATGATAATAGCAATGTGCTTGATAAAAAAAAAACTATAACACATAATTGCACGCGATAGAATAATAATGACGGTATTAACACTTGGCTTGAACGCGTTGGTTTTTTTTTTTTGACTTCTTGGGATATTTTAGAACATTCCAGCATTCAGTTGCTGTGATAATTTTTCTGAATTGGCTTCCGAAATGCGGCGCTCAACATATTTTTTTCCATGCTCTACCGACAGATCAGATCAATCAAGAAACTTCCTCTTCATATTTTTTACTTCCTTTGCGCAGGTTTATTTGATACCGGCTGACTACGAGTGTACAGAAACAAATACATTGTCCAAATTGTACAGCACAACCATTGTAAATCGAATTAAAATACATTGGCATATTTTTGCTTCCTTCACACTAACCGTAAAATGTTTCCGCTACTGAACCCCAACCACATAAAATTTCATTTGCAATTGATTGTATAGCGAATTGACCCCATGATCTAATAACAAAATGAAAAAAAAAATGTACACGATTTTCCCCTCAAGCACTTGATAAATTGTAATGTTTATGCACATCGATGGCACTTGTTCCGTGTAACTGGGACTGGCATGTGATTCGACGCTGCCCGACTTTGACTCTGTGATGCAGACTGGTTTTTAAAACGTATTATATAACCTTCTGCATTGACATCTAGAAGAACAGTTGGATGTTATCGCGTTAGATTTGAAAAGAGCATGAAGTAGATATTGATTTGCACAAACCAACTGATATCATTTTGGACCGCCGTTTCACTCAATTGAAACAATCAAAACGACCAAAAATCTACTCATTCTTCACAATGCTATGAGTAAGTGAGAGAAAATCCGTTGGAATTTCGTGTTTACTCACGCTCAAATGTGACAAGTCACTAATATGCAAATAACATATTCTTTTTCTTTCTTCTTCAAGTGCCTTTTGTATTCGTGGTCTTTGTGGAGTTTATAAAAAAATTTTGTGGTTTTTCATTTTGTTTCGGGGAGGCGTTTCTTGGATTATTTCTGACTCAAAAAATGGACTATGTTGCGTGCGCGATTTCCGCTGCTTGCGAAGAAAAATAGAAACTACCGAAACAAACACATTGTGAACAGATGCGAAACAGAGCGATAGCAGAGTACAGTAAAAAAGTAGCAAGAAAAAGATATAGAAACGAAGAAACCAAAAACAATGCGAATGATAGAGTGTATATATGCTTTCAGTGTGTCATTTACAACATAAAATGTACAAAAATCACCGTGATCGAGGCGAAGAAAAATGAATGAATGAATGAAAAAAAGCGCACTGCAGTGTGCGCTCACTCACTTGCGCGCACGTTCGTGCTAATTAATTCAAATGCACACCGAAAGATGCGGAGAACGTGTGAAAATGAAGTGATCGCATATATGCGAAATAGAAAAATTGCAACAACGGAATCATAGAACCAAGCAAACAATAAGACAATAAACGTGAAGAGAAAAATGTGAACGCACTTGTTGAGAGAGAGAGAGAGAGAGAGAGAGAGAGAGAGAGAGAAGAGAAAAGAAAGAAGCGTATGTGTCGATGTTTTTTTGTTAGTTCTGGTTGCATTTGGTTAGTGGCAGTGGAACAGCAACATGATTTGTACTATATACGGCGGCTAGCGAGTTGCGAGGCTATTTGTTTTCGTTCAATATTAAGCGGCGACGATGATGGAGAAAGATCCATTGGCCACCAACGTAATGATCTACCAACGTCCAATAAATTATTTATGTCTAAATAAAAATGCTTTGAAAGTGTAATTTGTTGCGTTGTTTTTATCGTTATTTGATTTCCATTCGATATGCCATATAACACGATCGCAGCAGCAACATTCAACATTATTCAACGTTTCGCATAGATTTCGCAGCTGATTTTTTCTCTTCTTCTTTTTCTTTCGATAAAGTATTTGCTGGTTTTTGTTTTTCTTTTCAAATATATCAATATATAGTTACGTTTACTCTCTAACGAGTATTGTTCGATGTAACGACTGATGAGATGATTGCATACATACATTGCTTTTTTTGTTGTTAAGGCAATTCATTGTCATCGTAACGGATCGGTTTTTTTTCTCTAGTGTATATATTCCGCTACCGCATCCGATAGAACATTTTATTTATTCAAGCAATGCATTGAGTGTACTTGAATTTCTTAACTCATTGTCATCGTTGTAGGCTGCACGTTTTGTGTGTGTCTGCCAAAAATTTCTCTATTTGGGAGGCAGTTTCGCGAAGCCGTAGCGAAAAGGGAATCGACAATGAAACTAGCATAGCCGGAGAGGAAAAGAAAGAGAGACCGAGAGAAAGAAACGCGAGATCAAGTGAAAACTTCAAACACACATTTCTGTAAGATTATTTCGATTTTCGACGTAGTTCTTATTCATTTCAGCTTACATTCGCAACAAGTCGAACGACTTGTTCTCTCGAGTGCTCACATTTAATTAAAGAGTATTTTTGAGCACGAGTGCCTAAAAACCAGAGACACAGAATTCGAATCGAATGCAATGAGCAGAGAAAAAAAAGCAGCGCACACAGCAAGATTGAACAAAGAGAGCGAGAGAATGCCCCGTAGCACTTACCTCAAAATTCACGGAATTCCAATGCAAAATGGAACAGATGTAACTGTTTAAGCGCCGTGAATAAAGTTATCCTTGGCGACACACGAACAAACACACACACACACACAAACATACACTATCACTGTGTTTTGTGCTATGATTTATTCTCTTTGTTTTCTTTATCGTTCGTTTTGTTGCACTTGTTCGTTTGTAATTTGTGTTCGATGTGCGATGTCTAACAGACAGACAGACGAAGTTTTGTTTTTCTGTGTTTCAATTTTTGGTTATGAATTTGGAGAGTTTTTCTTTTGCTCGTGCCAATCACTTTGTGTTCGTGTTGAGCAATTTTTCCGGCCAAAACATTGTCAAACCGTTCATATTGTCGTTGACTTTTGCATTTTTTTTTTATTATTGTCATGTATTTCTCATCGAGAAATTTGTTCATATATTCTCTTTGTCACTTTCCACTTGAACTAAAAACAAAAACACTCATCTTATCGATTAAACAAAAAAGAAAGAAAGAAAAAACACTAAATATTATCACAATTCATTTCAATTCTGATATTTCGCTATTCTTCACTCTGACATCCGAACTGGATTGCAACGCCAAGGTTAATGGTTCTTTAGCTCTTTGATTTGGCGACTTTCAATCGTGTATTTCTTCTTCTTTTTCTCCTTCTTCTATTTATGACTTTATTTGCACAACAAATTTTCTCGTTACATAACACAGTTGCATTTTTCTTGCTCTTAATCACTCACTCTCACTCGCTTGCTTCGGTTTCACAACACGACACCAATTGCAGATTTAACCATCTGTGGAGTGTGTGTTTGTTGATTAGTCTAATACATTCTGGATCGATGTTGTGAATTAAAAAAAAAATTGTTGAGCTCGTTATGTGAGCCAAAATACACACGGTTGATTGATTGTTGATTTTTGGCGATGACTCCGTGGCGATTATCAAATTTCCATGACCATTTTTAGGCGCTCTGTAAATCAAAATAGAAGATTTGTTGTTGAAATTTTCTTTTAGAATATCTCAATACTCAAAGTGGTTTGACTAAAGTCAGAAAATATTGCTAATGATCATTTCGATTAATTAACGACAATTGACGTCAGTTTTTTTTTTAAATTCCAAATTCACTTCATACACTCTATTCACACAATCAACGTACAGTCCGAATGAAATGTTCACATTCAAATTGACAAGAAATGCTTAAGTTGGAGCCTTATACATTTTGTAGAAGCTCATTTTTTCTTGAAAATTTTAATGAGAGATAGAAGAAAGAAAGAAAAAAAAAACACGTGAATTGCTCAATAGATGACAAATGTAGTCAACACCATATTCAAGTCAAGTGGCAATGAGCTCTCGCTTAGCGATGACTGAAGTGTATAGTCGCACTTTGATTTATCTGCTTTGTGATTGTGGTGTTCGCTTTGCTTTACGTTCAGCTCGACAGCCGATTCATTCGTTTCTCCCACTGAATCGCGCGGCCCGCCATGGTTCATTCGCTCGTTACTCGCTGTTGGGCCACAACTCCAAACAGAAAATTTATTATTATAAAAATGCATGTAGTATAACAATTTTGAAAGCCACACGGAACTTCTTTACATAGATATCCGAAACTTCCATTCATGCACGACACACGAATTTCAAATTAACACAATTGCAGCGAGTGAACGGACGAGCGGGCGGGCGGTCGGATGGTTGGTCGGTTAATCGCAAACGAGGAGCACGATATGCACACCGCACTCTTAACCGACATGCATATCAATATTTTGATCACTCTTAATCTGGTGCACTTTTATTAGTTTTGATATCATTATCTGGATGACTCAATATGGTTTTTTTTTCTCTCGATAAAACACAAAAAAAAAGTTCAGTACAAAATTACGAGAAGGAAAGCAATTGAAAAAAAAGCGAACAGTACACATGTATGCACGTTTCCATGAGGTAACCTAGCTTGTTAGTCAATTGAGTGCGGAATTTCTTTTATGGTGAGTTATGTAAATGCCGGAGCGTTTGGCTGATTTTTCAGCGTTATTATTATTATTGTTGTTGTTGTTGTTATTGCAGGGAGATGAGCCATCGCCGATGAGAATGAATTGCTCATTTCGATGGAAACGCTTTATCAATTATATTTTCATGTTTGCAGAAACGAGAATGAATCCATGCCTTGTCTACACCAGAAATGCCAAAAATCGCGTCGGCACACATTCCATACACACAGACACACATCGCACACCGTGCACAAAAAGAAACCGAAACAAAAGTGTGGAAACTTCAATGCTTCGATATTTTCGAGCACACATTTTTGGTGTGGAACACATGATGAGCAAACACACATGAAGAAGCAGCGAAAATAAAAAAACATTGAATACAAAAAGAGTTATTCAAATAAAGGCGAACAACAGTGTTGGTGTTTTCTTTTTATTTCGTGGCCGTTCTCGTTATTTCTCAACTGTTTTTGACATTTTCTTGGATATTTTTGTTGCGAACGAGAATGAGTAAGCGCTTGGCTCCCGTTCTCGTGTATATACGTAATGTGTGCGATTTTTTTTCTTCACTCGTCTTCTTCATTGTTAAAATGGTTACTTGCTTGTTGAAGTTGATGTGTGTGTGTGTGTGTTTTTTTTTCACTGCGACCTAAGGTCCATCACATCTACTGGCATTTTTTTTTTTCGGACTGAAAATCGGAATTTTGGCTTGAAAATTATATGTTACAAAACAGCAGAACGAGGAACTGAATTCGGTGTGTACATGTGGTTTTTTTCGAAATTATTAGTCATGCACGAATGGAGCGAGTCAGTTAAGCGATACAATTTCGGTTTTTACATAAATATTGCCATGCTCATCGATCGTATTGATCGAGCGCTACATGAATCAACTGAATGAGTAATTCACTTCCACAACTTCACAAAGCGCAACAATTCAAAACAATAACAATCACAACAATCAAATCGTTTGTGACATTGTTTTCGGTCGAAATGATTCAGTTATCATGTGCATATTTATCTGTTGCACAGTTCACCAGCTACATGAGCCGATGTACTTGTACAATGTACATATACAACGACCACATTTTTCGTATGCATAAAATACACTTGTCACATTGTCAGAAGACCTTGTTGCAGGCGTTCTTCGGATAATACAGTCATTTACGACGCCCCTTGTTAAAATGCGATAAATCCAACAAAACGATACACCATAAATGTCCAGCAACAATTTACTTATGTTGTGATTTATGAGTCAACTTTTTCAACAATCATATTTAGTGAATTAAATGTACTTCAGAAGTTGACGTAAATCCTCTTTTAGCACACAACACGATGGATACATGTATGTGGGTATGCATTTTAGGTGATCCTTTGATCATAAATCAATCAATCGGACTTTCATTTCTGCATCATCATTTCACAAAATCCATCACACATACAAACCACACGCACATAGAGAAGAATGATTCACAATCCTAACCATAATAAATGTGTCAGTTCATTTGATATACTATAAAAATGACGCTTATGACGTACACAATTCCAGTGAAGGCTACAACTCGATTTGTCACCATGAATTTTTCACATGCATTGTTGTTCAACAAAATAAGGCTGTATTCATGTCGATATTGAATGATAGATGAATTTCAATAGAAATCAAAAATGGGGTCGTTGTTTGGATAATCGTTTCATTTCCTATTTGCGGAAAATCAACTTTGAATGGAAATTATTCCGATTGTTGAGGAGATTATTGAAATAAAAAATTATTTTGTACTCAATCTACCAAATACTAGAAGATTTACTAGAAATTTACAATTATTCGTTATGTAAACAAATTGATAACAGGATGGCCGGAATCGTATTGTTGGAGGTCAGCCTTTTTTTACGTGAATCTCTTTCTTTCATAGTTAAAAAACAGATGAGATTTATTTCAAGCATTCTAATTATGAAATGATTTTCCTTGTAGGAGATGTGCCCACAAGCCGAGCGTTTATCGCTTGTGTCTTGTTGAATGTTTGCTATGTGCTTACTATATATAGTGCACCCTGTGAATTGATCGCGAGAGAGCGAGACTTGCGTCAATTGAGTCGGTCGAGCAAAACGATCAAATGAAAACATTAGCATTGTTTTATCACTGAAGCACCCGTCTGATGACGAATAAGAATGCAAGAACAAGCAAGAAGACGAGAAAAAAAAAACGTTATACGACATATACAATATCGAGTAATACAAACGGGGCAGCATCGAGACAGAGAACTAGTAGCACAAAAAGGTTCAAAGTATTCTTGAAATTCTTGTCGATTTGTTCGCGCTCGATTTTTTTCTGTGTGAGAATCAATTGGAAGGTCTTAGCACACACACACACACACACACACAAGCACGCACGCACGCAAACACACTCAAACACGAATTCAATTGTATCGATGCATTTGCTACACTATCCGTACATGTTGACAGCTATCTAAATTACGTTTATTAATAATAACGATGAGCAAAATTTGATTTTTGTTTCGTTTCGCATTTTCATTTTGTTTGTTTAGTTCGAATGGGCTGCGACTGAGGTGACTGCTTTTATTCTCTTTGAAGCATTGCGAATTTGAGGTCGACTACATTTGTAATTACACTGGCGTTTAAAATTCTATTCGCTCATTTTGGCAGAAGGTGAATTTATGCTTGTTCTTGATTCATGTGTGCCGCATCAGAAAAAAAAAATTGCGCACAATAAAATGCACACATCAACAACTGGCCCAATCTGTTCAATGCACCCAACACACACTGTATGCGTTATACTTCTTTCTTCTGTCGTAGTTGCTGCTGTTTTCTTGTATCAATGCCGCAAGTGTATGGACTTTTTTCTTGAACACTCGATTCGACATCATATTCTTTGAGCCTGTGCATGGCCATATGACTGTTTTCGTTCCAATTTCGAGCGCATTCAAATCTTCGGCAAATGTGTTTTTTATGGTTCAATATCAAACACATATGGCACCTTGCCGTTGAAACTAACGAGAGACAAAAAGAACACGAAGAGCCTCACAATGGCTTAAATTGTCTGTTTTTTTTTTTTTCATTTCGATTGAATACTCGAACACAGTTACACTTGATGCCATTTAAATCGATTGACAATGTTGCGATGCAAGTTGAAACGAAACAAAAAAACGATATTCATTTTCGGTTTGGTTGTTTTTAGCATGTCTTGGTCATCGACAAGCATGTCTCACACATCATAACAACTACCACGCATTAAATTCCATATACGCCATACAGTGTGTGATACACTATAAATTGTGTGATACCATGTCCAAGTTCTCGCAAAAGTGTCTTGCCTTAAGACATGCGAGATGTCAAACGAATGAATATTGAAATATATTGAAAAACAAACAACAGTAACAGCGCAACACAACTATTCCAATGTATGACCAAGTGACTTTTGGAGTAAAATTTTACACAAATTGTCCAACGCAAGGAATCATACAATCAAATGATACATATTTTTTTTCCATTGCAGAGAATCTAGCCACTGGATTATGTCTGGGCACTTAATTTTGCTCCTTTTTCCGATCAAATTGCAAAACTCTGCGTCTATCATTTGATGATTTTCTACCTAGTATTTTTTAGCTCAAATGCATATCCACAACATTGATTTATCGAATTGTTCATTTCGTTGCCATTCGTACGGTGCAATTCACTTGTTTGGGGAATTTTTTTTTTCTGTCGCACACATTTTTCTGTTGTTGATATTTTCAAAATGAATCTTGACTTTTATTTCTCTTTCTTTAGAATTCATTCTCATTCCTTTGACCATTGATTCATCGCTACAACACATACACTTAACGCAACACGAAACAGAATTATTTTTTTTTTATTAATAAAAACGCTTTATTTATTACGCTATTTGCAATTTTCTACGGAATGATCGTATATTATTTTTTTTCTCGGGAAAGAAGAAAGAAGAAAAAAAATATTTTGCCTCTTCACACACACACACACTCGATGTTTACTTGAAATGATGTTGGCCTTTATTCACATTTTACAAACTCTTTCAAGAAACATTTCGATTGTATTGATGGGTTTTTTTGTTTATTTTTTTCTTTTGGTTGGTTGATTGTATCATTTGATTACTCACTGTTCAAAATAAAGATTGCTTTTGGATGAAAATGGTTATTTTATTTAGTCGCCACGATCAAATCCAGTTCACACAATTTTGCACGTTCATTTTTTTCTCTCTTCTCTCCTCTACTTTCTGGTTAATTTCTTACGATAACACACAACAACGTTAAATGACAACCACGACGACGACACGACATCATCGAAATACGTTCTATTTATGTGTTATGAAAAAAAAGAGGAAAAAAAAAACAACGACAGAAATGAAATGTGGTGAAGACTTTGTGTGAGAGAAAAATATATATGTATATTAAGACATGTCAAACATATACACGGTCACATTCACACTCATACCATTACATCGTGTACTTGCTGGCTGCATCCTATACATGGATGTGTCTACATATTTGTACAAAGGCGAATCATGAGTTTCGCTGCTCTGCGAGATGTGAACATTCAAAATATCGAACATCATTGCCACTTGGTTTGAAGTCGAGCGCGCCTGTGTATGTCTCTCTAGATGTATGTAAGTGGAGTATGAGTGTGTGCGTGTGCCCGTGTTGATGCGTGTGCTTGTGGTTGTGCTACGTTTTGAAATGAGTTTTAATGCATTATGTCAATAAATTCAAAGGGGGTGCGTTCAGCCGACCGATGGTGATTTAACACTCGAACAAAATACTCGAATTATGATTTTTTTTTTCTCGCAATAATTGAGGATTGCATTTTTGGCTGATGTTTTATATGTTCATAATATTCTGTTGAAAAAGATGCAAAAAGAAAATGCCCAAGACTTGATTGTTTTGTTGACGAATGTCATCATAAACGAGTTTAGAAAATCAATTTTTCAGTATTCAGTACTTTATTGAAAAGAGTTTTATTTTTATGCTTTCATGGTAACAACACTGTCAATGTTATCATAGAATAAAAAATATATCTGTATGGCCTATTGTGTTGTACTATCACGGCTCTTTTTATAGGCTAAATTCAGAGTCTCATTAATTGAAACCATATCATTTTCGATGCTATGTGCCCAGTTCTCTACATCACCAATTTCCTGTAATAAACAGAAGAAATCATTGTATGAAAATGTTTCTTCTCTCAAAATTGTATGTGTTTGTCAGACACTGTCTGATAGTCACCTTAAGTGCGCTGCTAAATCCTTCAATTAGGCCCATCCATTGTTGCGTTTGTTTTGCGAAATTTATTGCACTTGTGTGCAATTGTTTTGCTTCAGCGTCCAATCGTTTTTGATTTAAATATGCTTGAGCCACACTGAAAATTCAAATAGACGACAAAAAGTCAAATAGACACATTTAAACGATTACGCGTACAATTTTTGGATATAAAACGGACAAATCAAAGAAAATTGCCCAAAACTCTCACCCAACATTCAAGTGATCAACGAGTGCTTGTGTTAATTCACTGGATGCTGCAATTGCCTCCTTTCGATTATTCTCTGCAATAATGAAATAAATTATTTAGGTTTCAAAAAACGAATATCGAATAATTGCCTTTTTACCCAATTCTTCTCTTTTTGCAGCTTGCTTCGCCTGATGATCCTTAACAAGAGATGACAACATTTCGAATCTAAAAAAGCCTTTTTTGTTTATGTAATTGTGGATCAAATCGACAAGTTGTTTCCAAATTAAAAAAAAAAAAACTACACTCCAGCTTATACTGTCACATTTTACGACTCCGTGTGTTTAAACAATAGCAAACACTTCAAAAATACGTAATAAAAACCCACTCCAGTGACAAAAGTCCGTTAAACGCCTCTGCAAAATGGCTTTCGATTTCGAAGTCCTTTGACAAAATCGTCGAAAACCAATGGAATCAATTTTTAAATTACTAAAAATAAATGACAATTCGTTACAACAATCAATTTCATTAAAATAAATACGTTTTACCCATTTCTTTCCCTAAGAAATCATGAACATTTACAGTATGTCACATATGAGCAGCGCCACCAAACGACTCATACACGAATCAAAATTGAAATTTTCAAATAATTTAACGTCGATTTTGCTATTCGCATTCTGGACGCGTATGTCACAAGTACTGTATAAACATTGAATTTAGCCGGACGTGCATCATCAACGATTAACGGGTGAAATCGAAAAAAGTTCTTTCCTTTTAACATTTGACAAACAAAACAAAAGCGAACATTTAATTAGCGTGTGCAAAAATTGAAATTGTGCATCAGTGAATAGTAAAAACGTCATATTTTTGTGTGAAAAAAATAAACAAAATCTAACATTCCAAACGAAATGGATGACATTGATCAGTTTACAAAAGTGAGTGCATATTTTTTGGATTTGAAAAACCCATCAAAAAGTACATATTCAGTAGAGGAAACTTATCGCAGTTTTTCCATGCAAATTGACCGAAACAATTGTTGGGTACCGGCACAAAAGTGTGTAATGCGTTTCAGTGCATTCGATTTGCATGGATGTTGCTATTTTGTTGTATTGTTAGTTATTGTTTAGGCGTTTGGGCTCAAAGTACATTTTCTCCATTTTTTGTTTTCACCTTTGAACTTTCAACCATTGCTGTGGAAATCAATTACAAACTAAAAATGGTCCATTTACTCTCATGAAATTGCAGAGATTTCTGGAAAATGCACAGAATCGTAGTAAGAAGCTCGGCATAAGTACTATGTCAAAGGTTCCATTGACCGAGAGTAATGTCATCGGTACATCGTCGCGACAGCATTCAACAAAGTCAAAAGCGGCATCGGCGTCACCAAGGCGCCGCACATCAACGGATCGAAAGCAATCGCTAACATCGCCATCAGCACCAAAAAGTCGTGCCGTTGCACTGCGCACTGTGAACAATTCGGTGGGTGAGATGAAAAATGCGTTGAACATCGATGCAAAAGAAAATGTAGACTTGGCTCTGGAAATTAACATAACCACTGGGCCAAATGTGCAGGTAATTTTCCCAGCATTTTTAACCATTTCTTTTATTTTGGAGAATTTTAAAATGAATTTCTTAGATACAGGTCGAGGTGGAAGAGCAAGAGCTGGATGGTGAAGGCAAAGTATTGAATACGATTCAAAAGCAACGCAAACAAATCACAGCCATCGAAGAGCGTGAAGAAATTGCCACAGAGCGTGATGAAAACGCCACAGCACCATCGTCATGTATCCGTGATTCATCTCGTAATCAATTGCATCGATTGGGCGCTTTGTATTCAAATCCACAGGATTTATCATCGCCAGTGCATCGCACCGAAACTGCATTTGCCATTGAACAAGAGCATGAAATGCGATCGGGTACAAAATTGAAAAAATCCAACAAACTCACCGAATTGGCCAATGCCTATAACCAATGGGAAGACGAATCGACATCGAGAAATCGTGCACACAAAACGAATTCGAACGATCAAACCAATGTTGCAACGAAAGTAAACGAATCAATAACGGTCAGTGGTATCAAATCAATTGTAAAATCTCCACGAAAACCAAACGAACGAGGTGCAACCGGTTCGATTTTAAATCGAATCGAAACATTTGATAAGAAGGAAACGGACGATAATAAGAATTTAAATAATAAGAAATTAAATTGGGACAAAAGTATTATGGACAGTTTGGAGTCGCAGGGTTTCAAACGTCGCGACACAACAAACAAGCGGTTAGAGTACGATTTTAAGGGAGAAACGGACGGAAAAGAAATCAACACCACGGTTTCAAATGTATTAAAACCACCATCCGGCATGTCAGCTTTGGCCAGCAAAGGCGCTGTACCAAAGACTGATATCAAGCAACAGCCGCCACTGGCAAAGAAAGTTGATGTTACCAAAGGTTTGGTATCTGGCCGTGCTGCAATATTCGAGACAAGCGCTTCACGTGCTACAAACGCAACCGCATCAACCACTAGCAATGCAAAAAATCAGAAAGATCCAGCTGAAATGTCATTGAAAGAACGATTGGCATTGTTCGAGAAGAACAAGGGTAGTGCACCGCTTCCAAAAGGTGCCATCGGAATTGGGGCATCCGTCAAACAGATTATGGCTGATAAAAAGCCATCGGAAAATGTGAAACAAGTGATCACAACGCCACAACAACCAATGATCAGCAGCACTACGGTTCCATCGGTCGCGCAATCACCATCGAAAATCAATAATTTTAACAAAGCCACCAAAGCTGAGTCCACCGCTGCTGGATCGGGAATTCGTCAAACAGTCGCCGCATTACTATCGGCTCCGGCTACCATTTCTGAATCTCGTATTGCGCACGAAAATCGCAAGATTCGTGAACAAGAGATGAATGTCGTGTTGAATCGATTCAACAACATAGCCGATGAGGAACCAGCCGCACCACCACCAGCACCACCGATGCCAGACAATCTCTTCAAATCAGTTGGATCTAATGGGCGTAAGCGTTTGAGTGGTAAGTACTAGACACTAGCACGGATACAGCAAATAAATATCCATACCGTTCGACTTTTTTGCTCTATCCGCTCTGGTATCTAGTAAGTACAGTCTGTAATAATTAAGAAAGACATGTCTCAAAATTCTTTAGAAACATATCAAAGCTTTCTATTTTATCTTGGAAAAGGAACATGTTGTGTTATAACAAAAAAAATGTGCTCATTTCTTTTCTTAGACGAAAATCTCGGCGTATCGACTCAGGTTCGAAGAAGTTTGGAAAATGTAAAACGCATCAAAGTTCAACCACCAAAAAGTGGTCATGCTTATCCAGCACTTTCTGACATCGAATCATCTGGAGCCGAAAGAAGTACACCAGAGGTCTATACCCCGGAACCAGCATACACAGATGAGGATAACGAACACACAATTATGAATCGCTACATGTACAGTTCTCAAGATGAAGGCGATGAAGGCGAAGAAGAGGACAGGTAATGCGATTATGCTTCAAAATTCACTCTTGACTCAATATTGGTTATTTGGCTGCTTATACGCTATGGTTTAGGTATAACGTGTGTTTAGCACGTAAAAATGCCTCGTTTTAGAAACTTTAATATTAGACTAAAATGAGCTTACTTTCAAAGTTTCAAAATTTGAATGGACTAATTTCGTTTTGATCAATTTAATAATAAGCAAAGAAATTTGATCAAACAAAATAAATTGAACGGAAAATATTTTCTATTTTAATCAGTTACATCATGGATTCCGAAGATGATGTTAGCAATGTATCCAATCGTCGCGATAACAGTGGCCGTCATGTTCATTATGAAGACAGTTCGATTACAAGTACCAATTCGGATGGTAGTGAGTTTGACAAATATTTGGATGAAGCCATCGATAATGTGGAAGATGACGATATGGATCGTCACAATCGTAGAGGAAATACAGTGAGTGAAATAAGTTTTGTCTGATTCGGTCGGAGTTCAACAATTGATTTTTTTCTCATACGAAATTTTTAGATTCAAAAAGGTACCGTTTCATCGAATAGTTTTAGTTATGAGCGTAAACCATTGAATCGTCAACAAGAGACCATATTTGAAGAGGAAGCTATAACAAGTCAACCACACAGCTCCAGATTCCAAAGCCCAATCAAATCAAGATTGACGGTGAATCCATCGGATGACAATAATTCGGTGACTTTGACACATACCGTTAGCTTCTATCGTCGTCAACAAATACAAAACTCGCCCAGTGTTCATAAGCCACTGCATAATACACAGCCAATGTATCATGAACCATCAACGACCGATGACAATACCGATTTTGACGATGAAGACGAGAAGTGCACACCAGAAACGAAACACATTCGAGCACAAGAGGATTTGGTCGAACAAAAGATCCGACAACTTATGGATCATGTTAATATTCAACATCAACAGATTGCACAGGCTAGCAATGCTTTGAACACTTGTGCATCGACATTTGAATTTTCCGGATCAACCGAATCTGTTGTAGCCGAATGGAAACTTTTGGTTGCATGTAAGTAGTGATGAAGTGATGATAGTCATGAACAAATTTGGAAAAATCTCATATAACGAACATAAATTCTTTTCATTTCAAAATTCAGCTCACAGTCGTAAGGCCGCTTTACAAGAAGTGCAACGATTACAAGTCGAGCGGTGCTTACGTCCACAAGATGCACCAAAAGAGTGCGGTCGTCTCACAATCAAAGACATTGTATTGCCATTGCGCGAAGATTATGTGAAGAAAGTGTCGGAAGAGAAAATATTGGGTCATCATTTGGTGTGCTTGTTGAAATACAATGAACATGTTCTGGCCACAAGAACCATTCCGACGTTGCCTGGTCTGTTGGCCGTTAAATTTCCCGGCGAATTGCATTTGGACAACGTATATGCTGACTTTAAAATAACGCTCGAAATCTATGGAATGATCGCACAGCGCGAATCGTTGCCACATGAAATTAAGTATCACATCAAAAAAGAGAAGAAGGGTGTGATTAAGACGCCAAAAGGCAAGAAAACTGGATCGAGTTTGATTATGCCACCAACTCAATCACCAGCCGGTCCGAATGCTGTTCGAGCACCCGCTTTCGCATACTATGGCTTTATTATATTTTCACTGCGTGAAGTGCAACGCAACACATGGACGTTGAATCAAGTATCTGCACCGGACATAACACCATTGGTGGGAACGGTGCACATGAAAATCAATTGTGCCCTTTCGGTCAACATTGATCACAAGGCATTTTTAACCATGTTCGAAGACGTGTCCGGTTTTGGTGCATGGCATCGTCGTTGGTGTCGTTTGCATGGAAGCATCTTGAGCTACTGGAAATACCCAGATGATGAACGTACCAAACCACCAATTGGTTCATTGGATTTAAGTGTTTGTGAACAACACAAAATCTCAACGGCCCCACGCGAAATGTGCGCACGATTAAACACACTTATGATTGAATTAAAACGGCTACGCCGGGATGATGACGAAGACTCGATGCTTTTGCAAACACAAGGCGAATACTCATATGTTAGGTAAATGTCATTTCGAAATTTTAAGAAATAATTTTAGAAATTTTGAATCAATTTTTTTTTTCATGTGCCACAAATTTAGCTTGAAATGACGTGATTTTCAAACAATTCTTTCAACAAATTTTCAACAACACAATTTTTCACCCTTTTTTCCCACAGACATTTACTATCAGCCGATACAAAAGAAGAACGAGACGAATGGTGCGCATATTTCAACAAGACGTTAGCATTGATGCGAGCTTGGGGAAATTCCGATCGACAATCATCTAAATAAAACCGAATCAGTATCCATATTTTTTTTACTGTTTTTTTTATATACAAAACATAAAACGATAAACTTGAAATAGTTTGAAACAAAAATCTAAATATTTACATTATTTAGCATGTAAGTGGTCATTACAAAAAAAAGGCAGAAAATCATTTTCTGTTTGAAATTTTTCTTGAACAAAAAATATATTCGCCAAAAATGCCATCACACGATAATCATTCAGCCCATAGTCAATTGGGCCATCAGGCAAAAGACAAATGCCATTTCCAAAACAACAACAAAAATGTATTTCCCCCGTAACAATGTACTTTTTTCCGTATTATTTTAATAACCTAATTATATATAATCGGCTTTTTTTCTTGCAAAAAATCGACAATTTAATTTTTTTTGTTCACATGTTTGTGGCCATTTAGAATAAAGTATACGTAATCTCATTGCAAACAAATAAAATGTGTCATTCATTCTTCATTAATTAATTCTTCCAGTGTCTAAAACTCTTTGAAAATATAAAACCAAAGAAAACACATCAAAAATATTGTGCAAAACTGCATTTTATTTTGTTTTTAAATAAGAAATAGATTGCCAGTTGAGTGAATGTTCTTGGTTCAATATTTTTTTGTAGCAAAAAATAAACAAATTATTTAACATTGACACCTTTGAGTGTTGGTGCCTTGAGTTGCCCTTTTTCTGGCACATACAATGGGGCACCTTTGTAACACACAAGCAAATCATCATTGGTCTTAAGATCTGGTGCGATTGTTTCCCAAATTTTCTTTTTTGGATTTAGTTGAGCGTCTGGATTGCGAGCATAGCCTTCTGTATAGACTGGATCGCCAGGTACTGAATTCAGTGGAACATTGATAAGTTCAACTTTTTCCGGTGTTGAAGCGCATAAAACCATTCCTTCGGATAGGATACCACGCATTTTGGCCGGTTTTAAATTACAGAACACAACGAGTAGGCGATTTTGCATTTCTTCAATCGGCACATGCTTTACGAGACCCGAAATGACTGAAAATAATGAGAATTGACGTTGTATTTTTGCAAAATGAAACGATAAATTAATAATGCTTAAGCATTTGAATGGAGTCAATGAAGCAACTAACACAAGCATCCACTTGTCATTACCTGTACGCGGCTTATCTTCTCCGACATCGATTTTCTCGAGATATAAAGCATCAGCGTCGGGATGTTTTTGAACTTCAACAATTTTACCAATGCGCAAATCAAGTCGGCTGATATCAATCACTTCTTCAGCAGCCGATGCCTTTTCACCAGCTTCTGGTTTCTTCCATGGGTTTTTTTCTGTTTTGGGTTTTTTATCTTTTGACGGTTTGGCCGCTTGATTTTCCGCATTTGCTGTTGGTTTTGGTGATGCTTGCGCTTGAACATTGTTCACTTGAACAGATGGCTTCGTGGCACTTTGTCTTGGTACCGGAATTTGCTTTTTACCATTGCGAGTTTCCAAATCGATCAATTGCTGCTTGGCCAATTCGATTTGCTGACGCAAATTTTCATTTTCAATTCGTAATTGTTGTTTTCGAACCTCATTGCTCTTCGCTTTGATTGCTCCAAACTAGAAACAATCATTGATTTATGTCAATTAATTCAGTTCAATTCAATTTAATTTGATTTGTAATATCATACCTGTACATTGAGCTCGTTTAGAGTTGTATTGGCAGTCTTATTGGTTTGCACCACTTTTTTTAGCTCCGAACTCATTTTGTACAATTAACAAATGAATAAAATCTGTGAACAAAAGCAATCCGGCATAAATTCCTCTCACAATCGCTATCGGTCTGTTGTGTTGTGTTGTGTGTGTAAAATGAGATATGTGAAGACTTAACCTCAAATAGTGATGCACATTGACAGCAACAAAACTCGTTACCAACGTAATCAACGTCAACGTTTCCATGCTTCAAAATAGAAAATACAATGAAAACAACGGCTTTGGTTTTTTTTTTAAAGTAAAATTCATTTTTTCTTCTTTATCAATTAACATAAACGAAAACATTTCAATGCGGCTGAATGACTAAAATCTAGGAAATGCAAGAAAACAAAACAGTTCAATGTGTTTACGTGATGTTTGCATTTTTTAGCGACTTAGTAACAATGTTTCCCTTGTCGGGAACGTACAAATATGAGCCTTTGTAACAGGCGACAAGTTGATCATTTGTAGCCATATCTGGAGCTAATGGATCGTACAATTTCTTTTTGTCACGTCCTCCATCAGGTATAGTTCGTTCGTAGCTCTCGCAGTAGACCAAGTCACCAGGTTTTGCATTTGCGGGTGGTTCAAGCACTTCCATTTTATCGCCACTTTTTGCACACATAATCATGCCTTCCGACAAGTGACCACGGAGTTTGGATGGCTTTAAGTTGCACAAAACAACGACATTCCGTCCAATTAATTCGTCGACTGTAAGGAATTTCGCGAGGCCGGCAACAACGGATAAAAATTCGCCTCCAATATCAATTTTCGTCAAATAGAGTGTGTCGGCATCCGGAGCTTTGTTCACCTCAACAATCTGGAAATTGGTACAATTAGTAACAATTTCATGCTTCTCATCTTACTCTCACTACTTACAGTTCCAATGCGAAAGTCCAAACGACCAACATGCTCAACAGCTGGTGGGTTCTTCTTTTGCTTTTTCTTTTTGGACTGCTCCGAGCAGAAATCACGCATTACTGTTGTTGTCGTCGTCGGTTTCAAAAATCTATCCAATGAACTAACCAATGGTGTTAATACACGCAATTGACTAAATTGCCGTTCAAATTGATTGGCCAGCGATGGTTTGGCCAATCGCACTAAATTCCGTGTGAATGTAACTTGCATCATTTCTATTTTGTTGTTTCTTATTTGGAAAATTCGTGAGAATCTTCCCGATTTGCGTAGATTGTGGTTAAATCGAATTGTTTTTTTTTTGTTGGTTAAATGAAATTCGAAATACGAAATTACGCATTTTTTGACAGCTGCCATGGAAAAGTGCCCAATTCTTTACTGAGTCGGTTGAATGATAAGAGGACACACAATTTGTTTGTGTTTAGCTGAAGGTTTTTTTGTTTCGTAGTATGTGTCACACATATCATTCTTATCGATGCTGTGTGTTATGTGTATATTAGGTTAAATAGTGATTTCAGAGCCCAAACCATATCTAGTCAATGATAAAATCCAATTGACTTTTCGAAGGCAGAAGAATAGAAAAAAAAATGTGCAGTGTTTGTGGTTGTGCAGACACTTTGAAGCGCATACTGAGTGACAAATGAACCATAGTCTCTCACGTTACGATACACAAATTTTGCAATTTTTTTCATTTGTAAATCAAGTCAGATTTCTTGCTTTATTTGTCACCTTAGTGCATCAAAAAGACATTTAACATCTTGATGGTGTCATTTTGACATTTCACTTGCTGACAATTGATCCGTTTTTTTGTTTTTATTTTATTTATATGGTGTTTTTTTTAGTTATTCCACTTCAATTTTGAAAAAGAAAATAAAATTGTAGTCGTCGTCGTCGATAGTGTTGACAAAGTTATATGCTTCCATTAGGCATTTGCAGGGCTGCTATATCGCAATATACAAAATCATCCACCATTCGCATTTAGTACTGTGAAATTTTGTGATTTTGACAATTTCGATAAACTATTAGATGAGATATGGCGAATCGCAATCGAAATAATGTAAAAATCGAAACAACTATCGAAGGTTGCCGCAGTGAAGCCAAATGGAAACGAGTCATCGAGTTGGCCGAAGAGCTCAAAACTGGATCACCCAATTATGGTAATAATTTGTTTTCTTCTCTGGACGCGATTTATTGGCATTTGTTAAATATTTCCGATTTTTAACATATAGAATGCCTGGCAAACTTTTTGATTGGCGAAGGAAAGTTGGAGAGTTTCCTAGAGGAAAATCCACCGATTGAGGCCAATTTCGCAAAAGCCAAAACTGGTTTGGTTGATGCAAAGAGTTACTTAAACTTAGTTACTGGTGAGGATGGAAAGAGGGCGGGCATCGCACTGGATGCTCATCTGCTATTGGCCAAATTACTTTTTGCATGCGGCGATTATGAAGAGAGTTTAGAAAATTTCTCAAAGGCTGAATTGAATTCACTGTCGGAAAAGGAATTAACGCTGTAAGTGTGGAATTTTGTTTAAAGTGTTTTGATGGTTCATCATTGATGAAAATGCTCATTTTATCCATCGAAATTTTCAGGAGGAGTTTAAAAATCCTAGCTGAATCGTATGCAATAAAAGGATTGTGTTTAGAGAATCTAGGTCACAAAGGTGGTTCAAAGTTCAAACAAGCCGAACGGACTACTGAAATGGTTGGTTTCGATTGCCATTTTTTTTGTGAAAATTTCCTCTTTTTTTCTATTTTAATAATTTTTCCATTCATTTTAGATTACATGTTTTGAGCGTGCGGCCGATTTGGGATTGCTTTATTTACAAGATCAAGATGTGGTGGGTGCGTCAACGGTGGCCGTAGTGTCATCGACTGGTACATTACCATCGTCAACAATATCTGAAAATCGAAAAATGGGCGCCATCTTAGAAACGGCATTGCAACGAGCTCCACTGGTGCTCATCACAGCGGGTAAATTACAAGAAGCCATTCAACGATATCGATCAATGCTCAGTGCCATCGAAACACATTCCACGCAAATATTGCGATTAACATTGGCACGACAGTTGGCCGAAGTGTTGTTGCGCGGTGTATCGGGTACAATTTATTCACCACCTTCAATTCCAACGCCCGCAAAAAGTGTGGCTGCACAGCGTCGCTTATGGACGCCGAAGAAATATGCGGGTCGAAATCAATTTTTACCCAAAAACTTGGCCGAAGAAACGATACTGCTGCTACTAATTTCGGAAGCGTTGGCTGTTCGGGATGCTGTTCTATCGCAAAGTCCAGAGTTTCGTGATGCACGTAAGCATGCGCTTAGAAATGCAACGACCGTATACGATCTATTGACACTGGCATCAATGCGATGGGGTCAAGTTGGTTTGTTACATGAATCGTTTGAAAAAGCGCTCAAATTCTCGTTTGGCGAAGAACACATTTGGCGACAGTATTCATTGTGCCTAGTGGCACTGGGCCGTAATGAACAGGCGGTCAAAGCATTGAAAGAATCATCGAAACTTACACAACATGACACAATCCCATGTTTGATGTCGTCACGCATTTGCTACGAAACGTTAAATCAAATTCATGATGGTTTGCAATGGGCTCAACAAGCGCTGAACAAAGATACAAAAGGATTGCGTCCATCACGTGCTCAGCTATACGTTGGCATTGGTTTTCAACAGCTGGCTTCGAATACAACGTTGAAAGCAACGCGTGAAAAGTACTCGAAACTCGCATTAGAAGCATTAGAAAAAGCCGTTCAACAAGATCCAAACGATCATTTAGCCGAGTATTATTTAGCATTGCAGCATGCATTAAACTACAATATCATTGATGCGCTCGTTCACATTCGCACAGCACTGTCACTGCGAGCCGAACACGCAAACAGTCTACACTTGTTTGCATTGCTGTTGACGGCCAATCGCAGACCGCGCGAAGCCTTACTCGTTGCCGAAGATGCTCTCGAAGAATTTCCAGACAATTTAAATTTATTACACGTGAAAGCACACCTAGAACTCCATTTACAGGATGCCGACACAGCTTTAGTTAGCGTTAAGAAAATGCTGAAAATCTGGCGTGACCTTTACGATTCACAAACGAATGGCGCCGATGGGAGTGACGAACGAAATTCGGACACTAGGAGCGTGTTCCAAGTGCATTCCACGCAAATGTCCGACAAGGATTCAAGTGAGTTGTACAACCGAAATCCTTCGAGAAATCAAAATTCCAAATTCCAATGTCATGCAAAATGATTCTATTTTCAGTACACGCTGCTTCTTTAGCCGCATCAAGAGTTGAGCAGGCACTAAGTGAAGCGGCTTCATCACTGAGTTCATTCAGTCCACGTCCAGGGCCACAAGGTGCATGGATGATTCAGTTGAAAATTTGGCTATTGTTAGCCGACGTTTATATAGCCATCGATCAACCACATGAAGCAATGTTTTGTATTCAAGAAGCCTCACAAATTTATCCACTATCGCATCATATTATGTACATGGTAAGCAAAAGAGTGCCGCAAATTCATCAGACATTTCCATTGAGTTGATTAATCAACATAAATTGATATCGAAACAATTTTTTTTTTTGCTTTTTTTTACAGCGCGGTCAAATCCATGTGCACCTATCACAGTGGAATGATGCAAAACAATGTTTCTTGAATGCCGTATCAGCGAATCCGTGCCACAGTGAAGCACTGCGAGCATTGGGCGAAACACATCATATTTTAGGCGAGCCACGACTGGCCGAGAAAATGATAAAAGATGCGGCAAAAATCGATCCAAATTGCCCAAACATCTGGTTTAGCCTTGGCAAAGTGATGGAAACACTTGGTGACTACAATGCATCGGCTGACTGCATGGCCACCGCTCTTCAATTGGAACCGACCTGTCCAGTTCTTCCGTTCACAACCATTGCAATAACATTCGAATGAGAGCATATACTAACATTTTATCAAAGAAAATCTGTATAAATTAAGAGAGACAATTATATCTTAAATAATGTTGTAGATATGCAAAGCAAAGTACACGTTAATGTTTTTTTTTGTCGTACGTGTCAATTCCATATTATATCTATTTGAAGAAAAAAAAAAAAAAAGGAAATATTCTATTTGACGGAAAAGAAGATTGATCACTAAATTTTAATGCCAGTCACATGACGCTGCAAGCTCTATTGTGATTGTGTATTCATTTGTTTTTCTAATTCATAATAATGAAAAAGTGTCACCGGAATTTATCGTTCGATTAACGGTTCGAGTTACTTTCCCCCTTTGTTGATTGTTATATATTCTATATAATTTATTGTTAACTTAAGAAAGAAAATATTGATTCTTGCGAGAGAGAGAGAGAGAGAGAGAAACAAATTCGGGTTTAATAAGTTAAATAAGGTATAAAGTCATTCATCGTTCAAAAGCAGGAAAAACTGTTTTTTCACATAAAAAATAGAGAGAAACAAAAATATTAAAACATTTATTCTCAAAAGACAAGAGAAAAATGAACACTTTTCGAATATCTAGATTTAAAGGAACTTCCTTTAAGGAAGTAAGTCCATACAAAAAAAATCAAGATAAAATAAAGATTTCAATTGATTGCACCAATTTGGTTTCAAATTTCAAACAAATAAAATGGAATAAGAAGATTCATCGATATTTAACCAATTTTTATGGAATAATTTTCAGTAAATTCAAGTGAGCAGTGCTTGCTTAATAAAAAATCCATCTATTTTTTTTTTCAACTAAAGCTAAGTACACAGTTCCTCGTGAAATGAAAAAATTTCTCCGGTGAAATTTTCTCAGGTGATATTTGTATGGTGTTTTTTATTTTTGAATTGTAAGCATAATGATTTTTGATGTATAAAACAGCTAACTCATTCCAATATCAACACGACACATGAACAAAGTTGGTTTTTGAGTTCATTCTTCTATGCGTTTTGTCTGAACAAATTTTTTCACGGTCGTGAAAAGAATTTCGCGTACATTTTGCAAAAAATAAGAAGAATTTCAAAATACATTAAAGAATGAATTCAAAATTCAAATTTGTTCATGTGTTGTGTTGATATTGGAATGAGTTAGCTGTTTTATACATCAAAAATCATTATGCTTGCAATTCGAAAATAAAAAAACAACAATACCAATGACACACCTGTGAAAATTTCACCGGAGAATTTTTTTCATTTCACGAGGAACTGTGTACTTAGCTTAACGAAAAAAAGCACATTCAAAACCACAATTTTTCAGATTTTTTGGATAGTAAGAAAAAGTTGATTAAAAATATGCAACAATTTAAACAGTTTTTTTTCGTTTGAAAATAAGGAAGGATTTATTTTATTAAAACCATTATTCAATTCACACGGTAAAAATGCATTTTTCATGGAATTTTCGTAAATTATTTTTTTGCAATTTTGCTTTCGCTGTTAGTCTGCGGTTCGTATAGCACTGCAGTCTGGAAATGGAGAAAAAATAAAATGAAAATGAGTTAATACTTTCTTTTTCGATTAATTTAAACTGCAATCAGTTTGATCGTATTGTGATATTAGATTTGATTTTTTTAACTCAACAAAATTTCGTTTCAAGTCAATACTCCGTATTACCTGGGCAGTTGGAAGAAGCGATTTACGGCAATTGGTGCAATGCAATATTTCATCGACGCTAATATTTACACGGGATATATGCACCTTGCATTGACGGCACCTGTAATCGGCATTGATCCTGATATTTGTATGCATATTTTCACGCTGTTTTTCCAATGGAACCGAAATGATCTTTTTTCAATGCTTTGAACCGAATCCAACGTTTTCAACTGAGACTTCTGATCGAAATGAGACATAACGAAAGAATCACCCAAAAGATAGCTGAAATACTGCTCGACGGCAAAAGTAAACATTCAATGCAAAAGAATGAGTATCCATCAATATAAACGATTTTTCGCTTTCTATCAACAAATCATGTTGATATTGTCAAATAAACAGCTGAAACCGAATGAAATAAAATGCATGGAATAAACAAACAAAATCAACAATGCATAATGAATCAAAAAGAGTAGAAAGTCCATTTCTGTAGACATTTTTGGCGATTTGTATAGCGAAAGATTTTGATTGGTGCCGCCGTAATGAACACCATTGATGATGAAGAGTTTTCCATTAGAAACAAGTGCATCTATTCGCATGGCATATCTTAGAAGATCATCAGATGTTTGGCCCTTGTTGTCTCTCAGAAAACAATGTGCGTTGATATTGTATGAAATTTCTAAATTTAGAAAATCACCAAAGTAGTCTCATTCAACGTAGGGACTAGGTCAGCCCGGCTGACTTACATTGCTTTTTTTTTTCTTTCAAAATGCTAGTTTCGAGCCTATAATAAAAACAGCAAGGGCCTATATGTTGTAACAACGGTTAAGAATACATCGACACAGTTGAACTGTCAAAAGCATAAACGTCAAACAAATTGTCTATAATCGTCATCGCTTTAATGCAATTTACTTTGAAAAAAGAAATTTGTTCAAATTTTTTTGTGTGTATGTGTTGACAATTGCTGTTATTGCTAAGATTTATTGAACAAACTTCGAGGATTCCAATTTGAAGCAGTAAATTAATGAGAAATTTGTTGTGATAATGGATAAAGTGACGGATTTCCATTACACATCGTTGCCAGATGATTCGCTCTATGTGAAACCATTTCGAATGTATTATGTGCAAAATGGGAAGGAAAAATCGTGGGATCTGCTGAAAGTTCATGACAGTGTGGCAATCATCATACTGAATAAAACTAGAAACACTTTGGTGTTGGTGCGACAATTTCGTCCAGGTAAAATGGCCCATTAAATCAATATATGAAAATCCACTGACATTGCATTAAACATGACGATGACTTTCGTTTATTTTCAGCTGTTTATCATTCGATACTATCGTCTGATCCACTGCATCACATGGCTTCGCCGCAAGTTCTACTAGAAAAGTACCCAGTTTCACAGGCAATTACAAATGAACTGTGTGCTGGCATTGTAGACAAATCAAAGTCACTCATTGAAATTGCCCGAGAAGAAATTCTCGAAGAATGCGGCTACAATGTGCCTATCGATCGAATTGAACTCGTCATGACTTATAGGCAAGTTATATAATTTCATATCACCCATTTAAATCTTATCTTCTTGGTGTCAAATTGAATCGAACGGAGTGATTGTTGCTATATTGAACTTTGGTTTTTATTATTATGAACTGTGTGTTGCTATTTTACAGAGCTGGTGTTGGAACCGATGGATCGACGCAAACACTCTACTACTGTGAAGTGACCGATGACGACAAAGCAGCAGAAGGAGGTGGAGTGGACGATGAAATTATCGATGTGTTCGAACTAACAATGGATGAATGCCACGAAATGTTGAAACAAGGAGCGATAAACAATGCACCACCCAGTTGCCTGTTCGGAATTTCATGGTTCCTCACGAACAAAACAAAATGATTTTCATTCGATCGAAAATTCTGAACAAACTTATCTACCTTATTGATGTATTCCAGAAGATGTACGAAAAAACAAAATTCCAAATAATAATAGTGTGATGAATTTCTGGCAAATTATTTGCAATGTCCAAGACTAGAAAATAAATTGTTTATTCACGGATATGTTCTTTTTTCTACCAGAAAATAGTTCGCATTCTTTTTTCCACTAACAGTATACAAAATTTGTTTTGTCGATGATTCATAAGTAATCAAATGCACTATGCAAATATGTCTGAAACGAATAAATTCCAAATTACCAAAAGATGAGCAATCACATTTTGGATTGTTTTTGTTTTTGTTTTCTATGACTGCTTTATTTTGGTGGCATTTTCCTTCGTTCATATGAAATCAAGACGTTTGGTTATTTTGAGCTAACAACTCCGGCCGTTGAAAAACGTTATCAGCATTTTTTGCATTCATGAAGTGACGGTGTTTAGTCTTCTCGAATCCGTTTCGTCGAATTCAAATGAAAAATGTGCGCTTCTTGTGCACTTAGACGTGCAACTCTTTGCGAATTGCTTAGATGCAGGATGAAGGAAAGATAAACATTCGGAAAAAGGCATGTGCGGAGTAGCTATATATCAATATGAATGCAAATTAAATAAACAATATTTTTCCAATTTGCTGTGACTTTATTTTTGATATAAACTGAGTCGATCCGTTCGATTCGAACGGAACTATACAATTATTTAAGTTTTGCTTACTGTCACTGAATTCGGTTGAATCGATTGCAATTTTTTATTGCGAAATTAAAGCACGAATTCAGCATTTTCTGGCCATCACCACAGTATATAATGGGCTTGCATGGTGTGCCACATTTCAGATCTTATCCGATCACCATCGTGTTACATTCAAATCAAGACCTCGTGATTTTTTTTATCGAAAGAAACGCATAAATCGAAACAAAGATGGCTGGTATTCGCTATCATGCCGGCTACGAATGTAGTTGCGGCAAGAAGTACGACACAATCAATACATCGAAAGGTGAAAGACGTCCATGCCCAGGATGCCAAACCATGAATTCGCCAATCAAAGAAGTAAGTTTATTTGATGTTTTGAAAATTGATTTTCATTCGGATTCCATGCAGAATTGTCAATGTTATGATTTTGTATCATTATTTGTTGATTAAAACATTTTCTTTTCGTTTTTTGCAATTACAGTTGAAGTTCAATGATGGCGAAGCAGTTCCCCACTGGTAACTTCGAATCGAAGTCTTCGATGTTTGTAAGAATGGCCATCAACAGCGTGCCGAAAAGAACCAAATCGAAATCAAACACAAAATTCATTGTTTTGTCACAAATCTGATATTGAATAAAATTTATTGAATATCTTTTGGCAAAACGCCAGCGGAAAAATCGTTGTTTTCATTGCTTAGAATCGTTCGGGTTTTAGGATTGTTTTTCAGTGACTTTCTGACAGTTTTGAGCATATTTGGCATACAAGTTGTTACAAATTACTTGTAGTTAATCTGAGATCTCTTGAAATAGGATTTCGCTTGAACATTTTTTTGGTTATCTTTCTGATTTTTTCTGGGTATTTTAACCACAGTGGCAGGCAAAATTTAGACTCATTCTTCTCTTTACTTCTGAAAATTGAGAAAACTAAATTCGAGGTAAGTATGATCTTTGTGAAATGTGTGAAAAAAATGTTACTCAATTCTTTTTTTACTGTGTTAAAACAAATCCGAAGAAATGAAGTCAAATCATGAACTAAGTACTATTTATTTGTGTAAAATAGTGAGAAGACGGTCGAAGTAAATTTTCCGACATAAATATCGATCATTTAGTTGTTTTCCAAAGAAAATTCCAACGAACATGGACCCGAATAACCCCAAAAAAATTAACATTGAACAAAATATCGAATGTCATCGATTTCAAATATTTCTTGTCCGTATTTTTCGAATTGAAAATATAAAATATTTGATGTAAATTTATCCGATGTAACCGAATAGCGAATCCACTTGGAAAATTCATCGAAAAAAAACAGTGCCAATGTATCATAACACATTCGTTTCAATATTAAGTTGGTTCGACACCATTTTCCATAACTTCACTGGTTAAAACGGGTTGAAAACATTGTCAGTGCTTCTTTAGTTGAGTTTGATATAGTTTCATTGTCAGTGCTCCTAGGAAGTCAATCAATCGACATCAAAGTTTTTTCTTCTAAAGAAATTAGAGGCTTCTAAGATCCATGTGGGACTACCGTTGGAAAGCATTCTATGTCTGTTACGTTTGCGGTAAATCGTTTCAAACGATCAATTCTGCAGCTCAGCAAAGGCGTCAATGTTATCGATGCTTGGCTTACAATATTCCATACAATGAAGTGAGTCACTCTTAGTATTCATTTCAACGTCAACGTCGTTTTGATGCAAAACAATTCTAACAAACGGTTTGCACTGTTCTCTTTTGGTGGCAGATGTGTTTCATTGACGGAAGCATAGTTCCAACTCGATGAACGATGCCATCGAATTCGGGAATGCCTATTTGTTGCCGTTTATTAGAATAAAATCTAAAATATGGCTTTCATTAATGTAGTGTCTCTTGAGCAATTGTTGTCACAACGAAACATGAAATAAATCAATCACCAAATGCATTGGCAAGATATTTGCAAAGAGAAAAGCGTTTTTTTACTAATCTAGTTTCCCTTAGACCTTTTTTGAAATTCGATCTTTCGATCTAGCAAATCATTTATAATACCAACACTTCGTTGATGACTCAAAAGTAATCAAATGCACCATGTAAATATGTCCAAAACAAATTCCAAATTACCAAGAGATGAGCAATCACATTTTGGATTGTTTTTGTTTTTGTTTCCGATGATTGCTTCATTTTGGTAACATTTTCCTTCGTTCATATGAAATTAAGACGTTTGGTTATTTTGAGCTAACAACTCCGGTCGTTGATAAACGTAATCAGCATTTTTGCATTCATGAAGTGACGGTGTTTAGTCTTCTCGAAACCGTTTCGTCGAATTGAAATGAGAAATTGGCGCTTCTTGTGCACGTGCACCTCTTGACGAATTGCTTAAAATGCAGGAAAAATCTATATCAATATGAATGCAAATTGAATAAACAATATTCATCCAATTGCCTTTGAATTTACTTTTGAAAACACGGTGGCATAAACCGAGTCGATCCGTTCGATTCGCATGGAAGTATACAATCATTCAAATTTTGTTTACTTTCACTGATTTCGGTTGAATCGATTGCAATGTTTGGCCGCGAAATTAAAGCACGAATTCAGCATTTTCTAGCCATCACCAAAGTATATAAAGGGCTGGCATGGTGTGCCACATTTCAGATCTTATCCGATCACCATCGTGTTACATTCAAATCAAGACTTCGTGATTTTTTTTATCGAAAGAAAAGCATAAATCGAAACAAAGATGAGTGACGTTCGCTATCATGCCTACTACGAATGCGAGAAGGAGCGTTGCGACAAAAAGTACGATACAATCAACACTGAACCAAGACAAAGTCGCCCATGCCCAGGATGCGGCACCATGAATGTGCCCATCGAAGAAGTAAGTTGGTTTGATATTTTGGAAATTAATTTTCTTTGTGATTTCATGCAGAATTGTCAATGTTATGACTTTTTGTCACTACTTTTTTGATCAAAACATTTTTTCTTCATTTCATTCAATTTCAGTTGAAATTCAAAGACGGCGAACCAGTTCCCAACCGTTAATATCGATGTTCGTAAGAATGGCCATCAACACCTTGGCGAAAAGAACCGAATCGAAATCAAACACAAAATTCATTCTTTGTCACAAATCTGATATTGAATAAAATCTATTGAATATCTTTTGGCAAAATGCCAGCGGAAAAGTCGTTGTTTTCATTGCTTAGAATCGTTCAGGTTTCAGGATTTTTTTTCAGGGACTTTCGGACTCTGATTTTTTCTGGACAACTACAGGCAGGCAAATATCAGACTTATGTTTTAAAATCGTTTGTGAAAATTGAGAGAACTAAATTCGAGGCAAGTATGATCTTTATAAAGTGTGAGGGAAAATGTAACCTAATTCTGTTTTTATTGTGTTGAAACCAATTCAAAGAAATGTGGCCAAATCACGAAGTAAGTACTATTTTTCTGTGTAAAATAATGAGAAGACGGTCGAAGTAAATTTTCCGACATAAATATTGATCATTTTCAATTCTTGTACACTTAGACGTGCACCTCTTAGGATTGCTTAGATGCAGGAAGAAGGAAAGGTAAACTTTCAAAAAACGGCATGTGCAAAAGAGCTGTATATCAATTGAGTAAACAATATTCCTTCAATTTGCTGTGACTTTATTTTTGATATAAACTGAGTCGAACCGTTCGATTCGCATGGAAATATACAATCATTCAAAGTTTGCTTACTTTCACTGAATTCGGTTGAATTGATTGCAATTTTTTATTGCGAAATTAAAGCACGAATTCAGCATTTTCTGGCCATCGCCACAGTATATAAAGAGCCTGCATGGTGTGCCGCATTTCAGATCTAATCCTATCACTATCGTGTTACATTCGTGATTTTGTTCATCGAAAATCAACAACCAAAATCGAAACAAAGATGAGTGACGTTCGCTATCATGCCTACTACGAATGCTACTGTTGCGGCAAAAAGTACGATACAATCAATACATCGAAAGGTGAAAGACGTCCATGCCAAGGATTCGGCAAAATGAATGCGCCCTTCGAAGAAGTAAGTATGTTTGATGTTTTGAAAACTGATTTTCATTCGAATTCCATGCAGGATTGTCAATGTTATGATTTTTTCATCATTATTTTTTGATTAAAACATTTTCTTTTCGTTCTATACAATTACAGTTGGAATTCAAAGACGGCGAACCAGTTCCCAATCGTTAATATCGATGCTCGTAGCAATGGCCATCAACAGCGTGCCGAAAAAAACTAAATCGAAATCAAACACAAAAAAAATTCATTGTTTTGTCACGAATCTGATATTTTATAAAATTTATTGAATATCTTTTGGCAAAACGCCAGTGGAAAAGTCGTTGTTTTCATTGCTTAGAATCGTACGGGTTTCAGGATTTTTTTTCAGGGACTTTCTGACAATTTTCAGTAAATATAGCATACAGGATGTTACAAGTTACTTGTAGTTAATCTGAAATCTCTTGAAATCGGATTTCGCTTCAACATTTTTTTTGGTTATCTTTCTGATTTTTGCTGGGCATCTTAACCACAGTGGCAGGTAAAATTAAGACTCATCCTTTTCTCCACTTCTGAAAATTGAGAGAACTAAATTCGAGGTAAGCATGATCTTTGTGAAGTTATTGTGCGGAAAATGTCCCTTAATTCCCTTTTGACTGTGTTGAAATGAATCAGAAGAAATGTAACCAAGAATGAAGTTTGTACTATTTATTTGTGTAAATTGATAATAAGAAGAGGAGAGCCGGAGTAAATTTTCCGACATAAATATCGAATTTCATTGACTTCAAATATTTCTGAAAGAACTGAAAATATTTGATGTAAATTTATCCGATGAAACCAGATAGCGAATCCACTTGAAAAATTCATTGAAAAAAAACAGTGCCAATGTATCATAACACATTCGTTTCAATATTTAGTTGGTTGGACACCATTTTTCATAACTTCACTGGGTAAAACGGGTTGAAAACATTGCCTGTGCTTCTTTAGTTTAGTTTAGTATCATTGTCAGTGCTCCTGTGAAGTCAATCAATCGACATCAAAGTTTTTTCTTCTAGAGAAATCAGAAGCTTCTAAGATCCATGTGGGACTACCGTTGGAAAGCATTCTAT